TTTAATTAAATATTTTATATTATTTACAAAAATATATTTTGGTACAAAATAATTTAATATTTTTCTCAAATTTATATTCACTTATAAAAATTTAATATCACGTTGCGAGATCAGTGTGTTATTTATTTTTATTCGGATACTTTGAATTATGATTGTAGAAGGAAAAAAAAACTATAATTAGATATTTACGATCAATTGTGTATTAAATTGTGTTTAAAATAATATCATGACTAGTATGAAATTTGCATACGAATATTTGTATATATTTGGATAACTTTATTTATAGTTATTTTGGACGGATACATAGAAAAAAAATTTAATTAAACATTTGCGACTAATTTTTATTAGATTCCCGTTTAAAATCCTGATCATTATACTTCGATAATAATGTTTGATTACTCCTTGGATATTTGTTTATTTGTATAATTAAATTTCTAGAAATATCAATTAAATGTACATCGTCATTAGGCAGATAATTATAAACACACAATAATTAAATTTTAATAGAGAAACGTTCGTAACAATTGCATAAACAAATTTTCCAATCATTTTCTAATTATCCCATTTAATATCGCAAAACTTTTTATCTATGATGAAAATTAATTGAAAATCTAATAACAAGAGGACATCGATCAAATTTAATTAACATATATTATAATGCTATTCGTTAAAATGTTGTTAACACATACAATAAAATTAAATAAGAAATGCAATAGGGGAATATATAGGAGGGATGAGTAAATAATCCTTTAAAACATTTGAGCGACATACATTTCCCTTTTCTTTCCTTATTTGATCCAACGTCCTGTGTTCCTTTCTTCAATTCCATTGCTGTCTCACCAAGAAAGGATTTCATTTTTGGCTAAGAGAGAAAGAGAAGGGTGGTTTGAGGAGGGTGAGTTGGGAGGAGGGTGCTTTTGGAATGGTCGAGTAGAAAGAATTTAGGGTAGGTAAGTGATGAGTCAGATCAGATTTGCTCGTATGATTTTGCTGAATGTTGTGTGGGGAGGTTGCTGGCTACGAAAGGGAGTGGCTTTCATTCTCTCTCTCTCTCTATCTTTTTCTATCTTTTTCTTATTTTCTCTTTTTATCTTTCTCTTTCTCGTTTTCCAAGCGACCTCGCTGATAGGACACCAATCACTTCCACTGCCTTCCAGTGGTTCTTTGAAGAAATTTAGCAAAAAAGCTTCCAGGGAATATCTATTCTCTGACTATTTCTTTTTTTTTTTTCTTTTTCTCTTTCTTACCTTACCTACTCCCCCACCCAATCTTCATCCTTCCCCCCCCCCCATTATCCCTACTATTCTAATTCATTTTTAATTTTATTTTTATTTTTTTAATATTCTTTTGAAATACATTGTAATTTTTCAAGTGTACGAAATATGTTCGTTAAAATTGTATTTTTTTATGATTTCTAATTATAATTTTTCCGATTAACACACTCGTACAGATAATAATTATTTTCAATTGACAATAATTATGTATTTAATCGATTTTAAAAATTAATTCTTACTTCGTGCTCCCAGAAGTTTATTAAAAAAAAGATGTTTTTCTTTTTTCAATTACTATAATATATATATTTTATATTTTTTTTTATTTTTCGGTTTTGATTAAAGAGGGGGTGTCGTATGAATTATTATAGTACAATTATATTTGTAGAATATTTGAATTACGTATTTATGTTGGATACGAAAAAATAATTGGATTGTATACATAGGGTTGAAATATTCATTTTTTTTTCTTTCACTCGTTCTAACGAGATTGTTGAAAGTAATAAAAAAAAATAGGTGGATGGGTTGGTATATAACATAGATATTAGAAAATGGAGGTAAAAGGTAGATGGGTAAGTAGGTACCTTGCGGAAATTGATGTTCGTTCGTATAGTCCTGTGATGAAGGTCTTGCAAGGGTCTGGAATTATTACCGAGGGGTGCCTTCGGGGCGTTGACGGGACCCTGCATGAGTTTCCTCAGGGCATACAACTGCAAACAAAGTAAAGTCTGCCTTTTCACGAGTAATTCGACTAAAACTTCACGATTCTATTCAATTAACGCATATTTTCATTGTTAAACTTCAAATATATATATTCCATTATATTTATTTATTTATTTATTTAAATTAATAAGAATAGAAACATATTAAAATAAATTAATATAAATATTTGTATTTTACTATCATCCGATCGGCTACAAATTTCATCTTTTTTTTTTTTTTATATACAATTTTATATCGCGTTCATTGTTTTATTTTAATTGAAATATATTATCATATTTTATGTAGCAGAGATATTTTTAATAACAAAAGATTACATATTGATGTAACAAAGAGGACTAATGGAAATCAAAATTTAATGGGTGCATGAGAAGACCATATCGTATAAGATAAACTTGTACTTTCAGATAAGGGTTAAGTAGTAAGTACCTCTTGTGCAGTAATGTAAATAGGTTTGTTAAGGATCAGCCAAACTGCCGTTTCCCAGCATCCTGGATGCGTCGTACTGCCTTCGTAAGTCATGTAACCATTTGTATCCGGAAGTAGACTTCTCAACGATAGATAGCTCACCTGTGCCGTATCACCTGTTTAAACAATTTTTTCATATTTTATTGTATTAACGTTTCAATACAATTTATATACATTTTCTTCTTATTATTAATATTAAATATACAATTGAATTATTTCATTTAATTTTTTACTCGTTAATCACACACCCACACATTCATATAATTAATTAAATAAAAGTCAAACAAACGATGGTTACGATTAATATATGGATTGGTGACCCGTTCAAAAAATCGTATGCTGTTGACCACAGAGAAAAAAAATAATTAATAAAATTAACTGCGTTGAGAAAAGTTTCTCAAAATCACATTTAATTTAATTACAATCAATTCTTTTCCTTTTTCAACATTTATCATCAATTTTTCCTAATAAATTTGTCAATTTTAGGATATTAAAAAAAAAAAAAAGATTGGAGTTTCTCGATAGGAAGAAAAGTTTTAAGGATCGTCAGACATAATCAGGACTTGTCAGATCGTTAGCACGTGACAAATACATTTGCCAATCACGTATCTGGATGACTAATCGATATTATTTTCCTTTATTTTTCTCCACAGGATTTTTCATCCCTCTTTCGATGTCTCAGGGAGCTATAAAAATTGAGGAAAGAAGGTAAGACAAGGAAAAAGGAAAAAAAGGGAGAAGGAGGAGGAGAAGGAGGAGGAGGGATCTAGTCAGCGTTGTGGGACCCCTTCTTCTTCTTACGGTTCGTTTCCTTCAAACGACTTCATTTTCGGCTCGTGAGAATAACCTCGAAAATGGTTTGTCTTATGAATTTAACTTTCTTCCTAAAGATCTTTTTTTATTTAACTCTACTGATATTTAATAACGTTATTTTATTGGGTAAATAATTTGACAAAAAAAAAAGAAAAAAAAGAAAGAACAAAAACAAAATGGTAATATAAAAATTAATAATTTCATCTAGAAAATTATTTAACTTCTTTTTCGTTATGGTGTGCTTTTGTATTACCCTTATACGGATCGTTGGGTTATTCGATGACCCTTTTATGGGTCGTTAGTAACGAAGGGATATAAAATTATTATTTTTATATAACATAATTGATAACGATAGACCTTTTTTCCTTTCGATTTGAAAACATTTTTCGCGAGATATATTTCTAACCATTTTCACGTATGTATAAAACACGTATAGACGTTTTTACGAATGTGTATGGGGGTTGTGATAGGAGGGGGGAGAGGTGGTTTATATGACGAAGGTTCACGAAGGACACGACTGGAAATTACACGAAAATTCGTCGTGGAAAGGTGCTTTTGAACTTTCAACACCGTATTCGTTTCTACGAAACGAAACGAAACGAAACGAAACGAAAAGAAAAGAAAAGTAAGAAAAACGCCGATGAATTCCGTAGACGGGGGAAGAAAGGGAGCTAAATAAGGTGTGCTTGCACGGTGCACTGCAATGATTGCTGCTGTACAAATATACCAACTTCCAACCTACACTTACGTACACACTTACACACAAATTTATATCTTGTACTAAGGGATATCCTATAGATATGTACATATACATATATATACAGGGTGTTTCCATTGAAATCCTGTTCGTACGAATAATATTGCAAATTTGAAAGAAAGTGAGGTAACTTTCAAAAATAAAACTTCGAAACGCAACAAATATCTTATTCGTTGTGTAAATGCGAAAAGTTTGTGCAGAATTTGACTCGATGTTACCAATTTTTCTTTTTCCTTTTTTTTTTTTTGATTTTGTTGGTTAAAGCAGTGATTTTTGAAATGTGTTCTACGGAATACTGCTGGGCATTCTATGCAATCCTCTCAAGGGTCTTATGAATTATTTTGTAAATATATGACGTCATATTTTATATCATTTGTCGCATTTGAAAAATTTCATCTAAGATATATTATGTGTTAGAAATTATGGCTTTGATATTAAATGGCTTGATATTAAATTCATTGCAATAAAATTGTCATCTTTTTTCGTCAAGGTAGACAGATGGACCAAAAATTATTGAAAATAATGAAGACTATTACGAAAAATAACAAAAATGTATATATATGTGATTTTATTTTATAATTAAATATTAAAATTATTCAAACGACGCCGCGAATTAATTTCTATTGAGAAAAATCCTCCCCAAAAAATCAAAAATTTGGATTACCATATCAAATGTCATAAAAATCAGTAAACAAAATAATGAACAAACGAAAAGGTGGTTTCGTTTGACGTAGTAATAATTCCACCAAAAAAAAACTGTTTATACTCGTAAAGGGGGTTGAACCGTTAACCGAAAAAAGTTTGAAGATCACTGGTTTAGAAAAATATTTGATGTTGTGAACGTCAAATCGAGGATTAGTTTTATCGATTATGTTATGTCTTTTTAGAGAAGAGATTTTTATTCGAAATGGGAGATAAGAGTTTTGTTGGAATCGTCGGTTACAAAGTACCGTATCGATCGTTTTTGATATATGGGCAGATATTGTTACGTGATATGTGTGTATATATATATATGTGTGTGTGTGTGTGTATAGATATTTTTTCGAATGGATACGTCTAGCAGGTAGTTCTCGATCGTTCTCAAACAGACGTTATGGTGCTGGATGCTGATAGAGCGTCACTTGTCACAAACCCATCCAACCGATCATTTTACCTTTTATCTCTTTCTTTCTTTCTTTTTCTTACCAACAAGGACACGGCAATCATGTGCAATCTTTGATTTTTTGTGCCAGATCTATGAGCATCATGAGCAATGCGTGAAATAATTATTAAGCAGATTTTGTTTATTGTTCGTTGAATGAACGCTATTTTTTTTATTTCTTTCATGCTCATGAAAATATTAAGAAAAAATATTTTCTATTATTATTATTATTATTATTATTTAAAAAGTTTTTCAACAATTTTTATTCAAACAATCAGATGGGTTTTAAGCGAAGCAATATGTTTATCGTAAACGAAAGAAATTTTGTGCATATATGTAACTTTTGTTTCTTTTCTTTCTAAAAGATACTTTTTGATTTACAAGTTTATTTATATTACATTTCTAGTACGATTTCTTTTTTTTTATAGATCCTAGAGAATTTACGACATCTAACAATCGGAAGAACTTAATAGAATTGAATGTTTTTCAGTTTGCAAAGAAAAATGTTTTTTTCATGGTTTTCACGAAATGTCATCGTTTCTTCTTCCAATCCCCAAGATGGTTTATTTTAAGACGCGAAATTTCGATTTAGAAGATTTTCTTTCTTTTTTTTTTTTTATAGCTAAAATAGATATTTTTCTCCATGTACGCTCGCGGAAAAAATATTATATTTTCATTGCACTTCTATATTTTGTTTCTTCTCAAGTTTCTACTACGATTTACGATATCTGTAAGTGAAATGTTATCGGTTTGGGAGGAAAAATTTTTTCATGGCTCATCATTCTACCCTTTTCCTCTGACATTCTTTTTTTTCTTACCGCAAGACGAGCGAGTTCTTCTATACTATCGAAAAAGAATTTGATAGCCTTTCTAAGTAAACTTCGTCATTCTTTTTCAAAACTTGCTTTTAAAAACGTCCCGTCGTCGTGTGTATGTCGTTTACCTACGCGGTTTGCTGATCCTCGAAAAAAAAACATGAATTTTTTCCAAGATTCGAATTGATGGGTAAAAAGAAACAGAAAAGAAATAAGAAAAGTTGTTCGATAATCGCTAAGATGGATACCATCTCTCTCTCTCTCTCTCTTTCTCTCTCTCTCCCTCTCTTTCTTTTCTCAAGTATAAAAATAAATCAAAGAGTAGTCTCTTGTGTAATATTTCGACGATGAAAACTCTCATCTGTGAAAGCTCGTCTTTCCTCTTCACTCTTTCACATATAAATATATATATATATATATTTTTTTTTTTTTTCATATTCGATGGTTGATCCATTTGGTAGAAATATTTGAATACACGTCGTATTACTAGGAAAGATATTTATACGAATCGAAATCGCGGATGATAGGCTGGTCTAGCGAATCGCTTGAATCTGCCTGCCATCGATAATTCTACGTTGTGTGTAAATAACACACACACACACACACACACACACATACGTAAGAACACGCGTATACAAATATTCGTGTAGAGAGAGCATCTCTTAGTCATCCTCCCTCCCTCCAACCATCCACCCAAATCTATCCTAGCCTACCCTAAAGCGCATTTCCACCTTCCCTCCTAGATGTTTTTTATTTTTTTTTTTTTCTCTATACCAATCCCCGTAGTATATATATATATATATTCTTGAATAAAAGAAAATACACATAACCAACCACCGTTTCAACCAGTCATCCGCCATTTCTTTTCGTGTCTATCTGAAAAGCCTAGGCATCATCAGAAGTAAGCGTAAGCAGTGTCGTTTGACTTATGTTAGTAATGTATATATATATATATATACAAAATACAACCTCGAACTATCATTACTTCACATACCCCCACCCACATACACACACATACGCATGCACAGAATATACAAGAGGAGCATCTATTTCTTGTATTGAGCTGGTGACATTAAAGATGGACGGACGGACGGACGGATGGTCTTATGGCACTCGTAAATGGTGCCGTTGCTTCAACACATAACCGAGTGAACGTAGTTTTTGCGCACTCTCTTCTCCTCACACCATCCCCCGTTTCTCCTCACCCTTCTCAAACTCCTTCTCTTTCTTCTCTTTTTTCTTCTCTTCCACTTCCACTTCCACTTCCTCTTCCTCTTCCTCTTCCTCTTCCACTTCCTCTTCCTTTCGACACTCTACTTCACCTTCGAGGCCGGCTTCGCGAAGGAAGATTCTTAGGTCGCCATTCAACGAGCTTAGAGGGCGTAAAGTAGAAGCTGTCAAGCTTTTCTAAGCGAATCCCTCTTCCTGTCGACACCTTTTCTCCCACTCCCACTCCCACCCCCTTCTTCTTCTTTTTTTTTTTCTCTTTCTTTCTTTATTTTTCTACTTTTATTTCTTTTTTTTTTTGCTACCATATATGGTACCATTTACTACGATATACTAGTGGCTGGTTATACACACCGCATGGTA